TGGTCTCTGACTGGGTAGGTTCAGGCGGGATGATGGAGGCAGGTCTTGAGAATGTTATCTGGGAGGAGTTTGACCCTGTGGCTCCTGAGGACATGGACAGGATTCTGGGAGGTGTTGTGACTCCAACCCCCGAGCCAGTCTTATCCGAGGGAGAAGACTCCGAAAGTGAAGGAGAAGAGTTGGCAAGGCCTCCTCTCCAGGACCCTCCTCTCTGGCAATGCCTCAGGTGTCTTCCAAAGGAGAAGAGATAGGCCAGGAGCCAGGCACTTCCGAGCAGCCGCAGTTAGACAGCGATGGAGATAAGTCTTGGCTGGATCCCTGACAGCGTCGGAAAGACAAGCGCGCGCAGCAGAGAAGGAGGCATGCCAGAGATTAAGCTGAGTCACTGGACCACACCCCACAGGGGATAAAAGGGGGTGTGGTGGCCATTCAGGCTTTGTGATGGACAAAACTGAAAGCTAGCAAGTCATTCTGCATTTCTGGAACTTTGTTATATGCTCTGCTTAGATTGATTTTTGGACTGGACTTGACTATTCTTTGGCTTTTGTGGACTTTAATGTTTTTGGTCGGAGGAGATAAACTCCCTTTGTAAGTAAAAACTTTTGGCAAGCAGCCACTGGGTTGCTGCCAATTCTGTTATCAAAAGAAATTCTTGTCTGCTGCTTTATTTTAACTCTTGGTCGATTGCTGGTGTCCGTGTGTGAGACAGGGACAGAACAGGACAGCTGAACGCGACCACATGTTTGTTGGACCCGTGTCCCTCCTGGTTGGTGCTGGCCTCCCGGGAGGTTAGGCGAGGCTGGCTCCAGGGGATTATTTTGAGGGTGTCTTGCCTTCCGCCTTGAAAGAGGCGGTGGTGAGGCCCCTCCTCAAGAAGCCCTCTCTGGATCCGGCTGTTTTGGCTAACTACCGTCCAGTCTCCAACCTTTGCTTTGTGGCGAAGGTTGTTGAGAGTGTGGTGGTGCGACAGCTTCCGCAGTACCTCGATGAAGCTGTCTATCTAGATCCGCTGCAGTCCGGCTTCAGGCCTGGGCACAGCACGGAAACGGCATTGGTCGCATTGGTGGATGATCTCTGGAGGGCTCGGGATAGGGATTGTTCCTCTATCCTAGTCCTGTTAGACCTCTCAGCGGCTTTTGATACCATCGACCATGGTATCATGCTGCGCCAGTTGAAGGGGTTGGGGGTGGGGGGGCACTGTTTTACGGTGGTTCTCCTCCTATCTCTCTGACCGGTCGCAGTCGGTGTTGGCGGGGGGCCAGAGGTCGACCCCGAGGTGCCTTGTTTGTGGGGTGCCACAGTGGTCGGTCCTCTCACCCCTCCTGTTCAACATTTATGTGAAGCCGCTGGGCGAGATCATCTGTGGTTTTGGAGTGGAGTTCCATCAGTACGCTGATGATACTCAGCTGTACATCTCCACCCCAGGCCATCCCAATGATGCCCTTGAAGTGATGTCCCGGTGTCTAGAGGCCATGCGGGTCTGGATGGGGAGAAACAGACTCTGACTCAACCCTTCCAAGAGCGAGTGGCTGTGGCTTCCAGCGTCCCGATATAGCCAGCTGGTGCCATCGCTGGCTATTGGGGGTGAGTTACTTGCCCCCACGGAGAGGGTTTGCAACTTGGGCATCCTCCTGGACGCACGGCTGTCTTTAGAAGAGCATATGACGGCCGTGGCCAGGGGGGGCTTTTTATCAGGTCCGCCTGATTCACCAGTTGCGTCCTTTTCTGGATCGGGATTCCTTATGCACGGTCACTCAGGCACTTGTCACCTCCCGCCTGGACTATTGTAATGCTCTCTACATGGAGCACCCAGAGGCTCCAACTGGTACAGAATGTGGCCACGTGGGGGATTATGGTAGCGATGGGGCGCTCCCATGTGACACCCCTCCTGCGCGAGCTGCACTGGCTCCCGGTGGTCTTCTGGGTGCGCTTCAAGGTGTTGGTTACCACCTTTAAAGCGCTCCATGGCTTAGGGCCTGGGTACTTACGGGACTGCCTTCTGCCACTGATAGCCTTCCACCGGCCAGTACGTTCCCACAGAGAGGGACTTCTCAGGGTGCCATTGGCCAGACAATGTTGACTGCTGATCCCCAGGGGGAGGGTCTTCTCTGTGGCAGCACCTGTCCTCTGGAATGACCTGCCTCCGGACATACGTAGGATCCCAGATCTCTGTGCTTTTCGCCGTGCCCTTAAAACTTTTTTATTTCATCAAGCCGGGCTGGCTTAACCCACCTCCCTTAGATTTTTTTTTAAAATTTGATTTATATGCCGCCCTTCTCCGGCGACTCAGGGCGGCTTACAGTGCGTTAAGCAATAGCCTTCATACTTTTGTATATTTATACAAAGTCAACTTATTGCCCCCACAAACTGGGTCCTCAATTTACCTACCTTAGAAAGGATGGAAGGCTGAATCAACATTGAGCCTGGCGAGATTCAATCTTACTTTAATTGCAGACAGCTGGTGTTAAATTACAGTGCTCTGTCTGTTGAGCTATCCAGGCTCCTGTATTCTTAACTGTTAATTGATTTTAGTTGGGGTGTTTTAAATTTATTGGGCCAAAATTTGTTTAATTCTTTTTAAAAAAAAATAAAAATAAATTTTGTATGTGATGTTTTTTATTCTTGGCTGTTCACCGCCCTGAGTCCAGTGGGAGAAGGGCGGTATAAAAATCTAATAAAATATATAAATAAATAAAATAAATAGTAATCTACTAGACAATCAATTAATAAACTAGACAATTAATGCTAAAGCAACTAGACAAATAATACTAAAGTAAAAAAAGTAACTATTAATTAGTTATACTAAATACTAAATCAGTAATCAGTGAATCAATTTGGTTAATCAATATTATTGAAAGACAGTAATGAATGGATGGGGTAGTGGTGGTTTTAAAGGTAGCAGCAGCGTCAGTTTAAAAAGGAAGCATTTATAGGGGCATTAGCAGCGTTGGTTTCAATTTCAAGATCCCTTTCAATTCTTGTTCTGTTATTCTGTCAATGCAGATTCTCCCTCTTTCTCCCTCTCTGTCCCTCTCTCCCATGACTAAATTTGAATCCAGCTTCTTGTTCTGAGTTGCATCCTTAATAATGAAGATTAAAAATACAAATTTGGGTTGCTTAAAAAAATCTACACAGCTCATGTGAATATTTTGAAATTCCCCAAAAGTTTATATTGATTTTGTCTAATCAAGACTGAAAATTTAAAGCTAAAAAGAAGAATTTTGCCTTATTTAGGATCACAGCTTCAGATTTATTTTCCCTAGCTATATGTAGTGGAACCAGTGAATTACTATAGGATGCAGGACTCAAATAGATCTCGCCTCAGCATGCTTTGTTTTGCTTCTGAAATTGAAAAAGAAATGGAGACATGACATGATGCTCCTAGCATGGATTTCGCTCCCTAATGTTTCTTCCCATATTTTAGAATATGCCAGTAATAAATGTAAAATGATTGATAAAAAACTAAATATGCTCTAATGAATATCCTTGGATTGCATAAATTTATTGAGCAATTTGTATAACATGCTAATTAACGTATTTGATTGTGAAAACCTAAACTTTAGAAGTCAGGAACGCACAAGCTTTACTCTGAAGGCAATTCAGTCAAAACACTCTTTCAAACTGAATGTTCAAATCAAATAATCATATTGATTTGATGCCTAAACTTAAATATTCAATTGATGTGGTGATTGAATGGAACTTTGCACGTAAGTATATAACCTTTTATTGAATCAAATGAATTATTTTAAATAGAATCTATTCAAGTTAATAGCTAGAATCAGAATCTGATTCTCAATTGTTTTAAAAGGACAGTTGGCTTCATAAAATAAGTGATCATAAATTTATCACAAGAAGGGGTTTGGAGGAATAATTTTTGTCATAATATTATCTCCTGTACTATGCAGAAAGTATTATTGTTTTGAATATTTATTTCACTGAACCTGATTTTTCATAAGTAGGAGTTGCATATTTTTTATTTAAAACATTTTATTTAGCTTCTGATTAAAGTTTCAGAAATGTATTCACATTAAAATGGAAACAAAACAATAACAAATATCAAATAAATTATACAGACATACTTTAAAATATTGCAAGAACATATATAAAATAAAATTACATAAAATATTCAATTAGCTATTCAGTTAATAAAGACTAAAAGCAGAACAAAAGCCAACACTTAAAACATTAAAAAAGGTGTAGAAAAATAAATAGGTTATTTGGGAACTGAATGCAAAACCTCTCTATTTCTGATGCCTGGAAAACCATGTACCACTGGACTTTTTTTTTAATTAAAAAATACACAGGAAAAAGTAGGAAGCTTGGGGGGGGGGGAAAGTAAAAAAAATGTTTAAAGGTTTCTGCCATATTTTAGTATTTTTTTATTTATTGATTAGCCCTTTGGGCCATATCAAGTGCAGAATTACAAAAACAAATCATTACAAAGGTTTGGTAAAACAAATTAAGTAATATTGGAATAACTCGCAATTAAAATGTAACTAGAATAAAATACGATCTAAAATAAAATTGGGATAAAATACAATAATTTAAAGTACCATTTAAATATAATTAAATTTATATTATAATGTCGTAGTAAGTTTGTATTTATGAAGCCAGAGTCATAGTCACTCTGCTATTATGGTACTCTCACTACAGCAATTAGAGTCTATAACAGAGTCTCAGTGAAAAGGGCATTCCTGCTTCTGTGAACTAATTCATTAATTGGTGAAGCTGGAAAAAACTAAGCTCTATATCTGAAATATATTCAAAATGAATAGGAGCTGGCATAAAATTAACCTAAGAAAATTGAGTGGAAAAGTGTGCCCTGGGATTGTTTTCTTGCTTTGTTGGCAGGCAGTGGATTAATAGTTGGTGTTGCCATCTGCTACTCCCTCCAGAAATGGAGGTTGAAATGGCCATTCTGGTGATAGGGCAACCAGGAAGTGTAGATGAGGTCACAGACTAAAAGATGACATAGTGCTTTTGACTGAAAGGACTAAGAGCACTTGTTTTGAAGTCCACACTTACCTGAGGAGGTTGCTTTCCAAGGAGCAAGCTAAACAACAAATGGTAAGAGTTGAAGTTCAGTATCATTCAAATATTATTTTAACATTCTAATATTGGTATAACTTTTCCCACACCATTTGACTTTTATTCCAAACATAGTTGCTTCCTCCAGTGCATTCCTATGCATGACAGTGAGATGCAGTTTCGTCATTTTGCCTTCAGGTTTGGAGTTATGTGTTCCAGTATTACTTGTTAGTCATCTTTGTTGTCCAAGGAACACACAGGAGCCTCATTTCATTTTATATTCTGTACTTTCAAAAAAAACTTGAAGTAGAAAAGTAACTCATTGTCTTAATTTGTACTAATTACATCTATGAACTATTTATGCCTCATTTCAGCCTGCAAAAAAAAGTTAAATAGTATCAGGCTATTCTGGCTTACATCAGGAGATTTGAAGTTTTTTCAAATCAAATAGGTTTTCATGATAAGATTTTTCCTTCAACCCATCTTACTGTATGTAATAAGCATTTGGTACAACATCATCTTGTGCTAACAATTGTCTTAAAATTTCCATGCATTTTTCTTTCTCTCTAGTAGAGGCTTCTATTTTCCATTCCTTTCTCAGAAAGTTTTTGAATTTTTAGAGTATTTTTTTTAGCTTATTTCATGGTTGGGAGGTAGCAGCAGATGTGGTCACTTACTGTTACCTTCCCTCCATCACTCTGCAGCCTCCCTCACTTCCCCTGTTTCTTTTGCTCAAGTTCACCCATGGGCATGGTGGTATACAATCCAGATTCTTAGGAGGTAAGCATTACAGAGGACCAAAAACAGTGAAGTTGGGCCAGATTTTCTATTTGATGAAGCTTAATCTTTTGATTTTATTCTAAGGCCAAACATCTTCCCTGGTAAGATTTGGTTTTCTTCAGACCAAGAAAAATCTTACTATCAAGCTGAAAGATGAGGCCTCATGAATTCTGACAGGTGTTCAGAGGAAAAGAATTTCTAAAGCTACTTAAAACAAACACTTCCAAATAAATGAAATCTGTGGATTCACAGGAACATTTTGAGCTGTTATAAATCAAGTAACAGTAATAGCTTATGACATTCTCAAGTCTGGGATCTTGATTCAACTGGTCTGCATCCTTTGCCTCCTAGCTATACAATAGTTTTTGGTATATTCTACATGGGAAGAAATATTTAGAAACGAGAGCTTATTTATTTAATAAAAATGTTTTCTCAGAGGTTTCTATTTACAAAGTGGTTCAAAGCCACTTTATTACATATCAAACACCTTAAAACTGTAGAATAATATTAAATCAGTTTTAACAGTTTTGTTCATATATCCTCAGCCTTAGCCACTCCAAATAGGCTAAATTTCCTGAATTCCTTGCCAGATTGGGCATAGTTTAGGATAGTTTTGTTTAATTTTATGAAAAATTGTCTATACAGCTACAGCCATTATATTGTTGTGTATTTCTTTATGTGTTTCCTTGGGGAGACGTATTATTTTATTTCTGTGGGAATGTGTCCTAGTGCTTCCTGGCCAAACTAAAAGTTTCAAGAGAAAATGGTTTAGGATAGCCAATCTATAATCTTTCCTAATTAGAGCTAATTTCCCTTCATTTCATTTGGACCAGTGGGTAGATACCAATGAAGCTTAGATTTTGATTCCAGAACTGATCATCCATGGAACATCCTATTCTCCCTCTAGATGTCATATTTTCTGCTAACTGAGCAAGTTGGGAATAATAGCGTAGTAGCGCTTTTTTTTTTTTGCAAAGAAAGTTCCTTTAAAATTCTAGGACAAGGCTATGACAGAGACCCTTCTCCACAAAAAGAAAGCAAAGGCTTTATAGGCAAATTGTGGGATATAAACCATACAAATACAGTTGAGTGCTTTCCTTTCCTTTCCACACTACAACCCTCATACTTCATTTGTATATTTACTGTAAACACAAAACACATCTTTTATAACCAGAGAAACCTGAGAGAAGAAGGGAGAATATTTGGATGGAAAAAGGCAGGAAAATTGGAGGAGGAAGATGTATTGGCTATGTTCGCCACCTTGAGTTATTTTAAAAATAATAAAGATGGTAAATAGATGAGAGAGAGAGAGAGAGATAGAAGAGAGACAGAGAGAGAGATGGAGATGAAGAGATATGAGAGAGAGAGAGAGAGATTTTCCAATAGAACTGAAAAGTATTTTTTCACTATGGTAGGATTGGGCATTAGCTCAATGGGAGTTGAAAATAAAATAAGATTTGTAAACCTATGGAGTAAGATGAAGAGATATTAAGGAAAGCATTCTCCTTAAAAGCTGAAGAAAAGATCTCATATGGTTTTTCTTCATGTTCTCCGAGGTCATAACCACATACTATTATTTACATAGCCAAATCTTACTAATTTTCTTTATGTTTGCCTACAACTAAAAATTGGGAGTCATGCCTTCTGTGATGCCTCCCTGCCATCTTTGGAATTGCATCACCATGAAATTTGGTTGGCTTTGATCTGGCTTACTTTTTTTTTTTTTAATTTAAAAAGTTTTACAAATACATTTTCTCCCCAATTCTCCCCCCCAAACCCTTCCTAACCCTCCCTTCCCCCCAAGACTTCCTCAAGATAAAATCAAAATCAAAATCACATTTTGTAAAACTTAAACCCCTCCATCCCCTGTGTACTGTTTATATCTTCATAAAATTCAGTTAATCTATCCCTGCATAATACATTCAGCTAAAAGCTATCTGATATTTCTTAGTTTGATATTTATTCTGCACATGATCTATCCACTTCTTCCACTCCCAAGCATAAGTCTCTTGAGTCCGATCTTTTAGATACGCTGAAATCTTCGCCATCTCTGCAAAACTGGCCATCTTCAAAGTCCATTCTTCAATAGTAGGTATAACATCGTTTTTCCAATATTGACCTATCAATAATCTCGCTGCTGTCACCATATACAATATCAATTTTGTTTCACCCACCGAAAAGCCCTTAACTATACCCAGTAAAAACAATTGAGGTGAAAATTGAATTTTTTTCTTCAAAACATTTTGATAACCCACCAAATTTTTATCCAAAAAGCCTTCACTTTCTTGCAAGTCCACCAAATATGATAATATGTAGCATCTAAACAATCACATCTCCAACATTTTGGTTGAACATTAGGATACATGCACGACAGTTTCTTAGGATCTAAATGCCACCTATAAAACATTTTATAAAAATTTTCCCTCAAATTCTGCGACTGTGTAAATTTGACATTCTGGACCCATATTTTTTCCCATGTTTCCAACATCACTGGTTCTGCAAAATTTTGTGCCCACTTTATCATGCAATCTTTAACCAATTCATTTTCCGAATCTCTTTCTAACAAAACATTATAAACCCTCTTAATATGCATTGGGCCTTTTTCTTTTATATGTCTAACCAATTCTTCTTCGTGCATCATTATACCAGTTTTTTTATCTTTCCATCTCAGTTGAAGTTGATTATACTGTAGCCAAGTTAAATTAATCCCTTCTTCCAACAGTATTTCTAATGTCTTTAGTTGCCATCTGCCCCCATCCATAAAAAGAACTTCTTTGTATAACAATCCCCCGAGTGACATTATATTTGTATTCCACATAATATGACCAAGATCCAGCCATAACGGTATTTTGTAATCCCATTTGAATTGGTGCTTCTTCCAAACTCTCATCAAAGAATTCCTAAGTATGTGGCTTTTGAATACTTTATCCACTTTATTCTCATAGAATAAATATACATGCCAACCAAATTCAAGGTCATGACTTTCTATATTCAATATTCCAGTCTTTATCCTTCCAAACCAATCACTTGCTTGCGTCAAGGCTGCTGCTTCATAATACAATTGTAGGTTTGGAAGTTTAAGGCCACCCCTTTCTGGAACATCTTGCATAATTTTCAGTTTAACTCTCGGCTTTTTCTCATTCCAGACAAACTTATTTACTCCTCTTTGCCATTCTGTCAGTTGTTTATCACTTTTAAGCACCAGAATCATTTGAAACAAAAAAAGAAATCTAGGTAGAACGTTCATCTTAACTGCTGCTATTCTTCCAAGTAAAGACAGCTGCAGTTTTTTCCAAGTTTCCATATCCTTTTGTACCTCTTGCCACAACACCTCATAATTATTTTGGAACAATTTTATATTTGAGTCTGCAACTTGAACTCCTAGATATTTAACCTTTGATACTATTTCAAAGCCTGCCTTACTTTCAAGTTCCTGTTTTCGATCTTGTGTCATATTTTTAACTATCATCTTAGTTTTTTTCTGGTTCAGTCTAAATCCTGATACCATACCATATTCTTCTATAATGTCTTTCATCTGGATTATTGATTCCATCGGCTGTGTTAGGGTAACAACCAGATCATCTGCAAATGCCCTTGTTCTGTAGTCCTCTTGCCTTATCGCTATTCCCTTCAAAGTACTCGAGTCCCTTAAAGAGAGTAATAAAGTCTTTAAGTAATAAAGCTAGGCGGGTAATTAGGGAATTGAAGAAACAAGAGATGTGAAATGTCATAATTGTTTAGATTAGGATTGATTATGATTGTTGAAGTTTATACCCTGTAATTTGTTCTGGGAAGGGGAGGGGGGGAGGGGGGAGGTTGAGGTAGGGAAGGGGGGGGGGAATATGTAAACTTTTTGTAAAACTTTTCAATTAAAAAAAAAAAAAAAAGTACTCGAGTCCCGTATTGTGTTCAACAAGACTTCTAGTATTAAAATAAATAACAATGGGGATAGCGGACAACCTTGTCTTATTCCTTTTTCAATACTAAAATTTGTAGTCAAACTTCAATTAATAATAATTTGCGCCATTTGTTGTTGATAAATTGCTGCAACCGCTTGTATAAACTGGTCCCCAAAATCCATTTTTCTTAGTCTTTAATAGAAAGTTCCAATCCACTCTATCAAAGGCCTTCTCCACATCCAAAAACACCAGCACTGCAGAGATCTGTTTATTCTTTTTAAGATATTCCAATAAGTCTATTATTTGCCTTACATTATCCTTCATGTATCTGCCTTCAATAAATCCTGCTTGATCATGATG